TAATCTGTTTTATTTATTCTTTTATGTAAATTACTCATTTTTTTTTGAAAAGAGAAGCTCACGAGGCTCTTGTTGTTGCGGACTTTAAGAAGAGTGTCAAATATATACAGTCTTACTCTCGCATGCAAAGGTGGTATTGCACAAAGAGCATTCTTCACTTAACCAGGTTGTAGAAATGCCCACATGGTTATTTTCAGATCAATCCTTCTCCAAAACTTTTAGTAGCCATGCCCTGTTTCTACTTTTGTAACTGTATATGTTCATGTTCATGTTTCATTCATAACTGAAGAATAGGTAATATATGACTAACATGCACCAAAATATATGCAATTGTGTGTGTGTGTATGTATATTCTTGTATTAGACTATTGGGATGAAAAAAGAAGTGAGAAGCCTATATTGCTGACAAACAAACATAGCTAAAACTTTGACTTAATGGGTACTTAATGAAGTGTCTCTGTTCTCTTGGAAATCTGATACCATGTTGTTTGCATTACACAGGTCAACTAGGATTTGTACTAGAATATCTTTAGTCACTTAGATTAATCAGGCAAGTTAGAGATAAATTTTAACCTACTCCCTTTGAAAATCATGAAGGAGACAAAGAACTTGAAAGAAAATTAGCTGATGTATTTTGCACAGAAAGAGGATATACATGTGCATATCAGACATTAATATGCATTTAAAATTCAAATGTTTTAGACTCTCTAGGACTATGCTGACAAAAAACTTGTGCTGTCATTGCCCTTTTGAGGTTTAATCCTACTGTTCAAAGCTTTCTTCCTACCAACCATTCATTCAATCATTTTTTTTCTCCCTGATCGAAGGGGCATTCTAGCTGATTCATACTGTTCATCTTTGATCTCCAGCATTCTTACTTGACTACTAAAACTAAGATCTAATCTAATGTTGCTACTTCTGTAACTTATTCTAGCGGCAAAGTAAATTCTGTCGATTATTAACTAACCCGAAAAACTTGTCACTTCTCTAATCAGTCTTGTAATACAATAAACATCTTTATATAACAATTATAAAAGTAACAGGTAGTGAAATCTGTATGAGCTGAGATAGTGATTCAACTGAATTCCATTCACTAGTAAATTTCTTGAAACATCACATATTCAACATTTACTGAAACTAGGAAGAGAGTGACTGTTGCAATGTAACAAGAACTCAAAAGAGTATAATATAGTTATGGAATCTCCAACTAGGAAATCTTTATTAATTTTCACCTTCAAGCTCATAATAATTTTATTTGGGGTATAATAAATTGAAGAAAAAAAAAGGCATGGATTAGCTTATAATAAATAGAATAAAGAACACATGAATATATAAATATTGACAAAAAGATAGATGGTCTTTCAATGAATGACATGTGCAGTGTCCTTTTCCCTCTCTTTCCATGCTCAAGACAGTCTTTCAAACAGAATCAGAGCCTTTAAAACAGCTCCCCTCCAGCTTCCACACACACATTCAAACTCAAAAGAGTTTCAGTTGTCTCCTCTTATTCTCCCACAAGCCTGCCCATTACTCTCTAAGATAGTATCTCTCCTTTCAACACTTATAACACATTTAGCCAAATTTTCTTTATTATCTGCAGCAATGTCCACCTCTAAAACCTCAGATAAACCCTTCACAGGCTCTGAAATTAGCCAGACTGAAACAACTTTTTCTTCATTGCAAAGAAACACCTCCCCATCTCAACCTACTGAGAGAAGAGGCCGGCGAAAGCAAGCCGAGCCAGGCAGGTTCCTTGGGGTGAGGCGTCGCCCATGGGGTCGATATGCTGCTGAGATCAGAGACCCCACAACCAAAGAGAGGCATTGGCTTGGGACATTTGACACTGCTCAAGAAGCAGCTCTTGCCTATGATAGGGCTGCCCTTTCTATGAAAGGCACCCAAGCAAGAACCAACTTCATATACTCTGACAACACAACTTTCCACTCTCTTCTCACTCCTTTTGATATGCAAACCCTCTTGCAGCCATCACAGTTCATGATCACGGGCACTCAGACTGAAAACCCCACTAATCAGACCAGTTCATATCAGCCTGACATGCCTCATGGTGGAATAAATATTCGTTACAATGGTGATACTTCCATCCAATCCGATAATGACAACAGTTCTCAGTCTTCATATGGTTCATCACCTAATGAAAACTTTTTTTTCTCAAATGACACCAACTCAGGCTACTTGGGGTGCATAGTTGAGAACTGCTTGCAGCCTCTTCCTAATACCACTACTATGAACTTCACAAGCATCAATGCCAATACTACGAATGATCAAAACTTTGCCTCCAATTCGAGTTTTCCTGAAATTCAATCAAATTGTCATGGTAATGCACCTCCTGCAGAAGCTACTAGTGTAGCAACAATGGCATCAAACCCTACAAATTTTTCAAGCTACGATGAAATTTACAATGGATATTGGGGTGAGCAGCCATGGGAGCTAAATTCCTGGGAACTCTCTGCCATGATCAACAATCCTATGATGGTGGAAGATGGATGCATGGGAACTCTTTATCCCATGCACCCCACCGTCAATAACCCGAGCTCCGAGTTGATGCCTTCAGTCACTTCTTCAGCAACTTGCTCCTCTATAGTTTCTCCTTCTGGTGATGTAGATGACTTGGGATACTCTCTCTTTTGAGTGTTGGCCTGTTTTTTTCCCGAGCTTCATGAAGAGAGAGAATACTTGCTGTTCCATGCACCTGTTGTTTTTGGTTCTCCTGTGATCCTATCTTTTTTGTAATTGTAACTAGTTATTGCACTAGGACTTCCCGCAACTCTCTCTCTTTGTGTGTGTGTGTGTGTGTGTGAGAGAGAGAGAGAGAGAGAGACATGGAATGTTTTGATTTACCTGATTATTAGACAATTTTTGTTTTGGAAATTTCTGATTTTCACTTTTTCTTTTTCTCTCAACTGTTCCATACGATTTCGTGTTACATGTTATTCCATCATTCAAAAGATTGACAGAAAGACTCACATACTATGGTTATATATCTCCATTGATGACGATCTTGAATGTATTGTGACCCAAAAATTGACTCCTAAAAATTCATATAAAGAGTAACCAGTGCACAATGCTTCTCGTCTATAGCGAGGTCTGAGAGAAGGCAGTCTCAACTCCATTACCTACACATTCACAAAGCATGCTTTATGAATATATACACTGCCAGCATACTGGTAAGAACATAATAACAGAAGCGAACGAACCATCAAAACGAAATTAGATCACAAAACAAGAAAATTTCTTAAAGATTAAGTTAAAAAAAACATGCATAGACAAGGATCAAAATATCAAAATATCGTTTCAAAACAATCGAAATATTTCCGTTTCCGTTTCCAAGGAAACCAAAACGAATCAATGATATAATCAAAATTTTAATATTTCGAGGTGTTCCATAATGTTTTAAAATGTTTTGTTATATTTCAATATATTTGTAAAATTATTTCAAAATGTTTCAAGAAATTTCAAAATATTTTAGTCTATTTCGACCAATATTTTAAAAAATTAATTTTAAATTTTTTTTCATTATGTTTTTGAAATGGGTCAAAAGACTCCAAACGTTTTCGACACACGCCAAAACGTTTACGTTTCTTAAGTGACTGAAATAATGCACTGAAACGAAATTTTGATCATTGTACATAGGAACAGATCTACTCTGGCTCAGCCTTGAATTACTCGCCCTGAATTGAGTTTGGACAAAATGCATAATAGGTAGAAAGTAAAACTTACGCATCTTCTAATCATCCAAACCAATCAAAATGGTACAAAAAATAGTGTGTTGGGAACCCCAAAACGTTTCTGTTTCTTAAGTAACCGAAACAATGCACTGAAACAAAATTTTGATCATTGTGCATAGGAATAGATCTACTCTGGCTCAGGCTTGAATTATTGGCCCTGAATCGAGTTTGGACAAAATGCAGAATAGACAGAAAGTAAAACTTTCGCGTCTTCTCATCATCCAAACCAATCAAAATGGTACAAAAATAGTGTGCTGGGAACCCCAAAAAAGAACTGTGCCATCCCAGAACACAGGCAACCAAACTGGTACATATGATCAGAGAGATGAAATGCACATGCAATAACATCCCTGTCTCTAAGCCAATGCCTATTTCTGCTGTTCAAATCATTTGCATATATCGCGTATATCTAATAAAGAGCGATTGTTGAAAAAGATTTACATAGCACAAACAATCCAACAGACAAAATACATTCATGAAATATGAAAGCAGTGATAATGAGAAGTAAAAATGTCCTCATCGATGCACAGATAAAATAAAGAGATAATTCTTACAAAGTCAATCTCTTATCCCCATTCTTTTGCTGTATTTGGAAATAAATTCATTGGGACTCTAAGCTATTTCATATCTGACAACATAAGGCAGGCATGTAATGCCTTGCTTGGAGTCCTTGGTCCCTAAAAAATTTCCCTTTCCCCACAACAAAGCCCCAGATGATGGGAGGAACAAAGCCTTCAAATTCATTTCTAAGCTGAATTGGAAGCTTGTTCCCAGATTTATACGCACACAGAATCCAAGTGAAAGGAGGAACAATTTGTCACTGATCTTTTTCGTTCCAAAAAGGATTTACAAAGTAAATAAGCACAACAGCTCCCAAAAATTGGAGATATGTATCCAAATTTGCCTAATGGAAGTGGATTTTCTTTCTGGTTATTCAGATGCTAGCTGGAAGGTATATGAGGTTTGCTGGATTGTTGAAGGTTGGATATGGCTTATTCAAGATGAAACAGGAGGCCATATGGAGAATTATATGAAAACAGAGATGAGTGGAGCTACAGAGTGCTAGAAATGTGGACCAGAATAACTAACAAAGCAAGTCTAGTATTAGACGACTTGCACAAAAACATGACTTAGGGTAAATGAAAGTTGACCAGTAGGAAAATTGAGGATGGCTCAATTCTTTTGCCAAGGTTGAGGTGCAAATAACACCTCCAGGACCTGTGCTGCTGCCACAAGTTGCAGAGGTAGAACTCTGTCAGGACTGCTGGACACCAGACTGAGAAACGGCTCCACTCTTTGAAAATATTGACCCAACAGAATCACTTGATGTGCTCATAGAAGAAGGCATTCTGCTTGAGACGACATCCATGTTGGAACCGGAAAAAAGTTCAGGCCTCAAGTCCGATGATGAGGATGATGGAGCAAGAGTACCAATTGATGATCCAACAGGATAGGGAGCAACAGGCATATCAGCAAGAGAAGATGCAGATGGACTGTAACTCAGTGTTCCCATTGGGTGATCAAATTTGCATGAGGGCCCAAATCGGCATACTCCATTTTGCGCATAGTGAGAGCAAAGTGGTGCACCCTAGTAAAAAAATAAGAAAACAAAATTAGTTGCCGAATGGAATGGCAGGGCTTTTAACAATGTACCTTTGGAAACAGGATATTAATTATGTCATCAGGGAATGGTAACAACTGTGATACCGTATCTTAATAGTAAATGCACATTAAGCAATTTAATGCGCTCATAAAAGGAAACATAGGTATAGAAGGATTAAAAAGTTAAGTGAAAGACACATCGGTTCTTGAATACACAAATTGCTCAACATGTCCACATGCATTTAAGTGTCAAAAATTCAAAATCTTGTTCTCTCTTGCTAATATCATGAGTATGATGCTGATCTTATTCAATATGTTAACAAAAATGTGGACGCTTGAACGTGTGAATAGCACCACAGGTCATAAAACTTTGGGATTATTATGGTTAATGAAAAGGAAAAAAAAAAAAAAAGAACTACAGATTGACACTTCTGCCAGTCAAAGATATTAATTCTTCTAAGGTCTCCATATGACGAGTTCGTTTACAGGCTTCTCAAAGCATCTTAGGTAGGAAAAAGTCTCTTGCAGCCTAGCTTCTTCCATATAGAGAAGGGATTCAACACCCTCCAATCAAGGTTGCTTTGTCTTGCAAGGATAAATCCCTTAAATGTAGGAGGTGAAAAACTGTAATTATTTCTGGATACTTCCTGGGATTGTATCGGTTCATTACCATTGTAATAATTCAGAGCTTTATAGAGTTTCAATTTGTTCTGTCTTTATCCCCTTTTAGCTTTGCTTTTTATTTGTTTTGGTCTTAAGTCATTTCAAAAGAAATGAGTTTCCATAGCATAAAATATATTCTGCTATCCTCTCCGAGTGAACTTTCTGTTTGTTTTGAATTATGAAGCAATACTACTTATCTGAGAACATAAGAGAAATTACATACACACGGGCATCCTATTTGAGAAGCAGTGACTTCACATAATTGGTCATTGCCAGAGATCTTGGCAATGTGAGTGATTTAAACAGTGATCATGAGGTTGAAAATAATTCAGATAGTGACTACGAGGATTAGACTGAAAGTAAAGATAAATAAGTCAGTGCTTGGCTGGTGCAATGGACAAACGAGACTTTTTAACCACCTAAAATGCAACATTTTACTTGAGTAAATAAACCGTTATGTGGCGAGTATAACAAATATGTGTGACGAAAAGGTCAAAAATGTATGTGCTTAAGGATGATTAAACAAATAAATACTCTAACAATGAATGTTGAAAAAAACATACCTTTCTGGCAGTTCAAATGAGGTAAGACCCCAACCAAAAAATAAAGGGCAATACTCGAGTTAAATACATCACAAATAATGGCAAATCAGAGGTCCTAAACACAGCAAGTTAAATATCAAAGGATTCGGAGAGAAGTAATGCAGGGAAAACACAAGAAAAAGGTTAAATAAAAAACTCAATTCAATGAAGTTAAAAGCCAAAACTTTGGCCCATTTCCTGCTAAAAATTTCTTCTGTTCCGCACAACCAACCCTTTCACTCGTACCATATCAGCACAACAGATGAGTGGGACCCACCATCCAATGGAACCCACTAATTAGCTAAGTGCACAGAAACCACATCAATTTTGTGATATATCTATTTGATTCCAATCAACTGTGTGCAGAGCATAGGTTCTGTTTTTAGGTATGCACGTCAGATTGTCACGATAAACACTACTTAGAAGATATTGAGCAGTGCCGAACCGGCATCTGCAAGAAATTTACTTCTTTGTACCACCCTGGGCAACAGAAGAACGAAACAGAAAAAGGAACAGAAGCAGCTGTCTGAGTTACGGGCATTGCCCGATGATTTGCTGGATTGGTGACTATACATACTGACTAGAGTGAGTGTTGTACTTACTGAATGAGACTTAGCGATCGATGAAGAAAAGTAGTCGTCTGGTCGAAGCCGAAGAGATCAGAGATAGAGCCAACCCTTATTTGATCACGTTTACAGATGATTACTTGCAACCAGGACTCATTAAGCATAACAGGCCTTTTTTTCATTTCAGGAAACCTTAATGGATTGGAGATAACAAGAATAGATAGGGGATCGGCTGTGTATCTCCTACCTTTGAGAATGCTAAAATGTTTCGAACACGCTTCTGCAACCAACGGAGAACTAGGAATAAAGCTTGGATGACTATGAAAAATGGCAAAAAAAAAAAAAAAGGGCAACCCATTGAGAGAAAATACAGTCCTGTTTCTGAATATGCACTTTCTAGAACTTCGCATCTAGCAATAATAGTATCCCAATCTTCTACAACTTAATTTCTTCAAAGAGATGGCAAGTATTAAGGACATGAAAGCACACTCAATATGACTAAGAAGTTCAAGTCATTAAAAGCATTAATTAAACCAGTTTTACAGAAAAAAAAAAGTGTGGAACTACTATAGACGGACACAATCAAGGTGCATGTTCTTTGATTAAACTTCACACTTAGCAACATCACAAGGCAGGAAAATATGTATTTTAGGACCATACAAAAGTAGCACATCTGATTAACTAATTGCCAAATCAGAAAGGACGATATTTGCTCTATATGGGAAAACCAACATAAAAAGCACCTATAGGCATATGTGTTTATTGTATGTGACACATATACACATATGCATGCATGCATGGAAAGATAAAACATCAAACATACACTAACCAAGAGGCTAATGGATGTAATTTTGTCATTAACAATGATGAACAGGAGTTACTAAAGCACTGTAACCCAGCAACACCATTATCTGCCTTGGAGTAGCCTCCAAGCTAATAGGGAAGGAAACTACTTATAGCTCTACAAATATCTTCTTGGTTCACTACACTTGAGATAAATGTAAGTGAAAGGGATACTCAAACTAAGAGTAGAGTCCCGTATATATAGTCAAATAATAATACAAAGTGACCAAAACATCCTTGTGGTCTAGGCAAAATATAAAATCATAGTAAAGGTAAAAAAGGAAAAAGAAACCATAATAAACTAGACTATACTCCAACACTCTCCCTCAAGCTAGGCGCAAAAATATCAACTAAGACAAGCTTGACAACAGAGTCCCGAAGAATGGATAGAGTGACAAATTTGGTGAAACCATCCGCAATTTGATTACTAGTCCCCACAAACAATGGAGTGACAATACCACATCGAACCTTCTCTCGAAGAAAGTGAACATCGATCTCTATATGTTTTGTCCTCTCGTGTAATACAGAGTCAGGAGCGGGGTAAATAGCAGATCGATTATCACAATATAATATAGATGAAAAAGCCACTGGAAATCCCAACTCGCCAAGAATCGATCGTAGCCAGATAATCTCACATGTGCCAAGTGCCAATGCCCGATATTCTGTCTCTGCTGATGAACAAGAGACAACTGTATGCTTCTTGCTCTTCCAAGAGATAAGATAAGTCCCTCGAAAAGCACAGAAGCCCGTAGTAGATCGACCGTCACATGCTCCCCCATAATCTAAATCTGAATAACAGGCTAGAGAACCAGTCTGAGATCCTGATGCATAGAACAACCCAAGTCCAAGACAAGACTTGAGGTACTGAAGAATATGATAAACTGCATCAAGATGAGGCTGACACGGTCTGTGCATAAACTGACTAACTCAGCTGACAGCGAATGAAATGTCTGGCCTACTGTTAGCTAGGTAGATAAGTCTACCTACTAACCTCTGATAGACAGTCGGATCTCCCAACTGCTCACCTTCAGCAGTAAGCTTCAGGTTTGGAATCATGAGTGATGATGCCGGTTTGCACCCCAACATCCCAGTATTTGAGAGAAGATCTAGAACATACTTTCTCTGAGACAGAACAATACCCCTGCTGATATAGGCAACCTCAATTCCAAGAAAGTATCGCAGAAATCCAAGATTCTTCACATTGAAGGCCTTCCCAAGGTCTACCTTGACCTGCATAGTCCCAGAAATATCATCTCCAGTAATAATAATATCATCAACATATACCAGAAGGATGACACACTGTCCAGAAGTATTCCGTCAAATGAAGCAGGTATGATCAGAATGATATCTAGTGAACCCTAAACGTACAACTACATCACTAAAGCGAGAAAACCAGGCTCGTGGTGACTGTTTCAGTTCATAGAGAGACTTACGCAGTCGACATACCTTTTCAGTATATTTCCCCTCACCACGAAAGCCTGGTGGTGCATCCATATAAATAATCTCATCCAAATCACCGTGAAGAAATGCATTCTTCACATCCAACTGATGAAGAGGCCAAGAGTACTCCGCAGCCAGAGAAATAATCAATCGAACAATAGTCAATTTTGCCACAGGGACAAAGGTAATACCAAAATCACGACCTGGTACCTGAGTAAAGCCCTTCACCACAAGCCTAGCCTTGTGACGATCAATAGTACCATCCGCAAGAAACTTCAGGGTGTAAACCCAGCGACAGCCAACAAGCTTCACCCCCGAAGGTAAAGAGACAAGATTCCACGTATGATTATGCTGAAGAGAGTCCATCTCCGTCTGCATGGCAAGAACCCACTGGGGCTCCCGCATAGCCTCTGAAACAGAGCGAGGAACCGGCATATTTGATAAGGCCATACTATAAGCTCGAAATGTAGGAGAAAGATTACCATAAGAAACATAAGCAGAGATCGAATATAAAGTCCTGGCAGTCCAACCATAACAGACAACTGGACGGCGATTACGCTGCGGATAACGATGCCCTAAATCATCATCCTCCATTGACAATGTCTCATTAGGAAAAATAACTGGCTCAGTCCCGACAATCTCATCAGTACTAACAACAGGTGCATCAATATGCTCAACAAACTGAGAAGTATTATCTGCATCGCCTGAGGTAGAAGGGACATCAACAGAGGGATGAGAGCGAGGGTGACGAACATAAACCTGCAAAGGAAGAGAGACTGGTGACTCTGTACTAACAGGGACAAGTGGCTCTGGTTGAGGAAAGACTGATGACTTGTAGTGATAATGACCAATGGCTCTGGTTCCTGTGGTAACGAAAAATCAAAGGGAGTATCATCGACTGAAGGGGCAGACACAGGAATAGAAGAAAAATAAGGAATGTGCTCAAGAAAGGTAACATTTAGACTATGATACATACGGCGCCTGATAGGGTTATAACACCGATACCCCTTAGACTGATGACAATAGCCCACAAAGGCACAACAAATCGCTTTATCATCAAGCTTATGGCGAGTAGGAGACCGATCTTGAACAAAACATGTACAACCAAAAATACGAGGGGAGACCGAAAAAAGTGTCCATTCAGGGAATAAGACCTGTAAGGGAGCCCTATGCTGAAGAATACGACTCGGTATACGTTTACACAGAAAGGTAGAAGTCAAAATAACAAAATGCCAATAAAATTTTGGTACCCCCATACCTCTAAGTATACAACGTATCATCCCTATTAGACTCCTATTTTTCTTTTCAGAAACTCCATTTTGCTCAGGAGTAAATGGACAAGTGAGCTGCTGAAGGATACCCTGAGAAGAAAGGTGAGACACTAAGGCATCCGACACATTCTTTGGCATTATCTGAACAAAGAGCACGAACAATGACATCGAATTGTGTCTTAAACATCTGAAGAAACTGAGTGATGATAGAGAGTACATCAGACTTCCTATGTAAAAGGTAGACCCAAGTATAACGGGTATGGTCATCTATAAATGTCACATAGTATCGAGCACCTGACAAAACAGTAACAGGAGAGGGTCCCCAAATATCAGAGTGTATTAGGTCAAATGGCTTGAGTGATTGGTGCATGCGAGGAATATAACTGGTCCGAACATGTTTCGATAGGAAACATATAACACAATCAAGTTTACCACCAACACAAGCATTGCTCAAAGCAGAAAATAACATACATAAATATTTAAAATTTGTATACCCAAAACGGTCATGCCACAACTGAACAATTTGTGATGAAAAATCATAACGATAAGTACTAGGCAAAATACTAGCATTCAAGTTAGGAACAGATAAAGACAAAGCAAGTGCAGATAATAGAGGAGGATGAACTGGTGAAACTGGAGGTGGATCGCCCAAATAATACAATTCATCTCTCTCGTGTCTCCTGATAATGATCCTCTTGGTACTCTGGTCCTACAAATAATACGAATCAGATAAAAATACAATCGCACAGTGAAAATCTCTGGCTAACTGATGTACGGATAATAGATTCATAGCCAATTTTGGCGCATTAAAAATTGAATGTAATGTAAAGCCATCTGGGAGGCAGACTGTACCCCTACTAATAATAGGGGCATGTGTCCCATCTGCTAGTTAAACCTGTGTATGTAACTGCTCGTCAAAAGTGGTGAAGTGATGGGCCTCACCTGTCATATGACCATTCGCACCCGAGTCCAGCATCCAAAGGAAAGACAGACTGGTGCAAGCAAGAAAAGCATGATGTATACCTGTAGTGATAGCAGTAGCAGTAGTCGGACCCTGAGAAGTTAGGGCGGATATAAGTATATCTAATCGAGAAATGATAGCATCCATATCACTCTGCCAAGGAGGAGGAGCAACAGGAACCGTGGCAGTAAGTGGTGGTACAATAATAGCAGCACGGCTACAAGGAGGCAACTTAAGCTCCGGATAGAGCTTCCAGCAAGTAGTCCTAAGATGGCCTGGTCGGCCACAATAATCACACTGACGAGAATCTTCATGTCTACGCTGATGTGGAGTCCCCTGACGGCGCTGAGCTGAGCGCTGTCGACCCCTATACCCGGTAGAAGTACTAACAGATGTCTCAACGGTAGGGGTCTCAACTCCCTCAGTAGTAGTCATATCATCAACAATACTAGGGCACCCGTGACAGAAAAATAACTCTAAGATAAATAGAGGAACAAAATAAGAAAGAACAATATACCTCCAGTCGAACTGCAACAACAGATAAAAAAGGTCCAAAAAACTCTCAAATAATCAGGTCATAGTGCCCAGAAATCCAATAAATATAAATGATCTACTGTATCAAGAGCAGATCAATAGAAAAGAAAATCCTAGATGCTGCAACCCAGGAAAACAACGACAGTGGCGCGCAAAGATAACGACACTACAACGAAGAGCGGGAAGTACAAAGGCGGGACAGCTGGGTTGGGTTCGATTGTTGGGTTATGGATAGTGGATTGGTAGGTTTTGGTGGGCTGGGTTTATTGGGTATTTGTTTGCTGGTTTGGTTAGCAGTGGGCTGGGTCGGATTTAATATGTATGGGTTTAATATGTTGGTGTGCAGTAGGCTGGGTTCGGTTCAGTAGTCGGTTTACTGACTTAGAGTTGGGTTTGTTCTTGGTTTGGTTTGTCCTAGATGGCAATGTGTGGGCAGTCAGTTTATGCTGCTGAAGTGGTCGGTGATTTGCAGTGAGGAATTGGGTTTGTTCTGGGCAGTCAGTCGGTTTATGTTCTGGGTAGTCAGTGAGTTTGTGTTGTTGTTTTGTTCTGGGCAGACTGTATTGGGTTTGGTTTTGTATTGGGTTTTAGGGATGCTATTTGTTTGGAGCAGTAGACTGTTTTGGCAGTCAGTGCTTTATGGATTGAGGGAGGCAGTCGGTGCTTGCTTACTGGGTGGCTTTGGTTTGGTGGGCTGATATAGTGGTTAGATTTGATGAGGTTTGATGGTGGGCAGTATGTTGGGTGCTTGGGTATTGATGTTCTCGGTGGAAAGAGGCAGTCGGTGCTTGGGTACTAGGTGAGTATGTTGGGTGCTTGGGTATTTTCTTGGTGAGGAAGAGGCAGTGAATTGGTTTTTTGATTTCTGGTTTTGTCGCCGGCAGTGGGCCGGTGATGGTGGCAGTAGGGAAGGTGATAAAGGCTAGGGTTAAGGTTAAGGTTAGGGTTAGGACTAGAGATGGAGGTTAGGCTCTGATACCAACTTGAGATAAATGTAAGTGAAAGGGATACTCAAACTAAGAGTAGAGTCCCGTATATATAGTCAAATAATAATACAAAGTGACCAAAACATCCTTGTGGTCTAGGCAAAATATAAATCATAGTAAGGGTAAAAAAGGAAAAAGAAACCATAATAAACTAGACTATACTCCAACAATTACCTAAAGCTTGAAGAAGAAATAAAAATTCAGCCTTGATAAAGAATGGATAAATCATGGTCTTGTTGACTCAGACTACACACTCAGATTCTTGCTGTTGTGATAAACCAATGAAAGATATTTGTTTATCGCATATTTATAGGATCACTTCAACATGGAATTAGCAAGTTGTTAAAAGGTGAGACAAAGATAACAGGGAAGGTGAACATAGAAGGGAAAGAAAAGGCATTGTTACAGAAGAGAAGAAAAAAGGAAGTAAAGCATGCAGGTTAACTGATACTGCTCATTTGAAGTAGGAAGAAAACATCGTTTACAGTACAATCCAAACACTAAACAACTAGAATACCGTATTTTGCTAAACAAGGAAAACTCTCCTGTTGTCTTTCTTACCATGCAACATTATTAAACGAAAACTACTTAGAGGATAGGTTGATGTGTGCACAAACAGGTATACAGTTGCTGTCAGTATTGACAACTTGCAAAAATAATACGGGTAAGTGATATTCAATGACTACATGAAAACTGGTCTCGCTCACTCAACCAGTTTTTCCGATAGGAAAAAAGACCAGAAGAAAGGAACAAAAAAATTTTTACCAGAGACTTACCAAAGATAATGGTAATTGACCAGAAATTTCCATACAAGTAATATCAAGCTGTAATACCAATATTTATGGCAGAACATCAAAATTCAATATGTATATGATGAGAAGCTTACCGGACGTAGAGGAAGACCCATGGGGCTAAGGACAAAATTTGGTTTCGGTGCACTCCATTCTGGTGGATGATGATATCTACATGAAGATCCAAATTTACAATCCCCCGTTCTCATGTAATATTGACATTCAGGTTGGCCAGGTCTTTCAGGAAATGACTGTTCCTTCTGGCTACGGCTTGAAGGACCAGCAATAGAAGGTATGGATAGATAAGGTCCTGAATAGGCGGGTGCCGAAGGAGATAGTTGTGTTATCCCATACATCTGGCCTGCTCCAATGGTTGGCTGAGTACTAGGAGAGGCTAATGGACTAACAGGTGCCTGCACCAGATGGGTTAACAACTTGTTGAAAATTGTACGCATCATAAGAAATTTCTGATTCATGCAAGGAGCCTTCACTAGATTTACCGTGTAAGGACTCCAACCCGGAAAGGGAACAATCCCTGGGGAGAGCAGCACCGGACTATAAGTGCCAGGGACATAAGATCCTTGAAGCATAGTATGCCTCGCAACGGGCCAGTTGCCAGTCATCACCCCATACTGTTGAGAAGATGGAACAGAATGAGACTGCATTGGTGGATAAAGTGCTGGTGCAGGCAAAGGTCCAGCTGCAGGTGCCGGCACTTGTATGCCAGCTGGCTGTGGATGATGAAATTTACACGTTGCACCAAACTTGCACTGCCCCGTTTTTACGTAGTATGAACACTCTTTTTCGCCCTGTGACAATAACTCTAATTTTGAGCAAACTGCACTTCATACTTCAAGGAATATGATCATAACTTAACCAAGAATAAGCAAGCTAAAAGTTAACAAAGTGCAGACCAGTCGCAATGGGTATCCAGAAATATTTAGTGCCACTGGGTTTATAGATCCAGCTCCTTGTCTTGGATGGTCATATTTGCAGGAAGCACCAAATTTACACATTCCCGTCCTCATAAAGTACTAGGATTAAGAACACCATGGTCAGTATGAAAAAGCATAACTAACACGGAGGAAACTTACTATTCATAACAGATGAATAGCCAAAAGTAAGAAAAAAGATGAATTCACACCTGACGAAATTGGAGCTCACTCACATAAAAGATAGAAAATGCATATATAAATCATGGTACAGCATATTCCAGCATATGTACAATTCCCAACACCAATCAGTTCAAAATATTGTCAGATATTCGGAATCAACAATTGAATTATTAGTATAATTCAGCATAACAAATATTCGAGAGTTTATACTTCTCGGAAGGTAATATGGAAGGTTATTTGTTATACAAAAAGAAGTTACTATTTTCACTTAATGCAGAACAAAAAAAAATGAAAAACAAAAAACAAAAATGGTTTGCTTGGAGCCCACTCTTTCTATATGATAGTCAATGTAGAGATGAATCATAACATGATTTGCTTAAATGGATGCACATTTTCCAATATCAAACCGCAAGTATTTGAAGAATTTGTCAAATATGAGTATTGGTAAAGCACCAAATTTTCATTTTCCCATCCTCGTATAATACTATGAATCCAGAAAGAGCGGCATGGAAATAGCAGAATTTTGCAAACGTATGTTTCCAATATCAAGTATTTGATGAATGTAGTTATCAACAGACAAATCGATATTTTAGAACTACCGCGAAATTTGGTGAGGGCAGCATAATCTGTACAAATGGCGGCATTATTCATGCAAATGGAACTTCCAGTTTTTACATTGCATAGCTTGAAAGAAAGCAACGATGAACTCATAATCAGCAATATAGAAGCTCACCTTTCTAGAGTAGATAATGAAAAGAGGACCAATAGAATAGCAGAATTTAGCTAATGTATATTTTCCAATATCAGGGATTTGGGAAATATTATTAATGACCTGACTAATTGATAAAATAGCACACCAGATTGAGAAAGAGATGCATAATCAATACTAAAAGCCATAACCAATACCAAAAAGAACTTTCTACTTTTATCTAATGTAGAACCAAAAGAAAGAAAAGGACAAATTCAGGATCTACAAGATCCATACTCAATCTTCTAGAATGGACAATGAAAAACAAAAAATAACAAAACAGAATTTGGCAAATGCACATGTTTCCGATATTAAGCACTTCGACAAGTAATCTTCACCCCAATAAAACATTTAAAGTAGTAATCTAGTATGGTTGAAACAAAAGATATAACTAAAATCCATAATTGACCAAATAGAAGCTCACTCCAGTCAATCAACAAACAAATCATTGCATGGTTGAATTTATCAAATCTACATCTTCTAAAGTCAATCATTCCATCGACATTACAAGCTTGACACCAATAAGAAGTATAAGAACAAAGTACCTGGCACACAGGTTGGCCCACTCGTTCGGGCAACTCCCCTCCAGTAGCCCTCATAGATCCCACAGCCTGAACAATTTTCAATCAAAAAAATTGCCCGAATAAATGTCAATTTTTAATCTTTGCTTGCAATTAGCATAGGCTTAAACACAGTTATAGACTTACACAGTTCGATACCAATTTATCAGTATTCATATGAAAGCAGACAATCAAATTTAAAGACTGGAAATATGAAAAATTCAGATCAAATCTAAGTACAAACCTGCAACAATTCACATAAATCAAAATATCAAGCTGAATTACACACTCCAAACTCAATGGTCACGGATGATTAGATAACAAAATCTTCCAATTAAACCCTAACATATACCAAATCAAGCAGAAAAAATAGGGAATTTCGATACAATTACCGCAGTACGGTTCCGGGGATGATTGAACCGACACCTTGCACCATACCCACAAAACCCAGTCCTCAAATAATAGATACAATCGGCCTCGTCGGGCCGTTCAGGGTATGATTCAGCTCCAGTACCCAACCCCAACTGCCACATAGGCTCTGCATTTGCAAAATCAGCATTCAAAAAAACTCCACATTACAAAATTCACAAACTAAATTCCAATCAAATTGAAATGAAATTCAAATGCAGAGTCACTAGACTTGCCTTCGAGCCCCGTTTCACCTCCCGGTGAGCTCCATTCCCCCACCGGATCGGCCTGCGTACCTTCCATTGACTGTGTCCGAACATACCTCGTCATTGTACGGAATATATACCCGTATACACAATAAATACCTATAATGTTTATATATACACACAATATATATATATAGAGAGAGAGAGAGAGAGATTGAGTAAAAGGGTTCTGATCGATGCCTGGATGGGGATGGTGGTTTTGTAGTGTGAAAGAAGAGTTTTTGTGGGTGGGTTTGTGTCTTTCTCCCTTTGTATCACTGTATAGGTGTGTATTGGGTCTGGTCTCTTTGCCTCTCTCTCTCTCTCTCTCTCTCTCTCTCTCTCTCTCTCTCTCTCTCTCTCTCTCTACTTTTGTGACAAACTTTCTCTCTCTAAAAAGGTGAGTGTGTAGTGGTTTGTTTCTTGGTCAGTTTTTGATCTTTGGTTCTGGGGGCTTTGAGGGCAGGCGAGTTGTCGTCCGTTGGTTTATATATATACGCGCCAAATACCAATGCAGCTTTACCTAACTATAGTAATAGTCGCTAGCAACAACAGAACCTGACGATATCATTTGGTTAAGAGAAATCACAGTTTAACACCCTAGTGTTTGTGTGAAATGACAAAATTACCCCTCTATTTTTCCAACAACGTGATCATAAAAAATTTAAAATAGTCCATGCTTATGCATATACATTATCGATCGTGTTCGTGTTCGTGTTCGTGTGCTTAAATCACATTGTATCAGAATTACTTAATCTTGTAGTCTATATAATGTCTACTTATGATTGTGTGTATAGTTTTGATTTTTGTTGAATTTAATTCATACCATGTATAACTATATATAATTAGTTTGATTTTTGTTGAATTGGGGCTTCCATTAACTGGTAATTAATTTTGAGGCTCAATCCAAATTAAGGTGACAAAGTGCATACTTTTAAGTTTACAAGCGACTCGTAACAAGAACACTCGTTAAAATCTCTATAAATTTGAGTTGTCCCATTAAAAACTTCCCATTTTTTAAAAAAAGATCTCATCATTTATGTTTTTTGAAAGAAACTCGGACATCAATTATTATGCATAAACAAAGTATGATCTAAGCTTGATATCCCCTTGTTCTAAGTTTGGATACACTTCATTTGATACGTAGCTTTTATTTGGATAATTCTCACACATATATTAGTACTTTTTATCACACGAACATGTCACGGAAAAAGAACAAAAAAAAGCTTGCTTTGAAAAATAAAGATGGGAAAAGGGTGTGTATATGACTTTTATTAGGAATATGTAGGCATTTAATTAATTGGGGAAAAGGGGTATCTTTTTGTTTTTTTCATTTTTTATATCATGATCTTTTAATAATTCCCTTTAGATGCTTTGAGAGAAAAACATCTTTCTTTCTTGTGGTAACATGGAAAGAATATATTTGTTACTTTCGAAAAATAGGACAAGAAAGTGGGCTTATATGCTCATTAATACCGACAGTTCTTTAGTTTAATAGTACTATTTGTCATTACAATTAAAGTTTATTACATAATACTCCAAAAAATAATCAAAATTGACAGAAAGCCAGCAAAATACAGTAAGTGCATATAGTCAAATGTATGTTTTAGAATTCTCGATAGTAACAAAAGTAATTAAATTAATATAATGGCTGTTAACTATGATAATGACTGTTAACATCAAAATAGGAAGTTTTAAAAAAAAATGACTTTCGTTCTTTTCTTTTTCGTTGAACAAAAAAATAGAGATATTCTTGATAGGAAAGATACACATTTACTCAAAAGTCCTTAAAATGTAAAGAATACAAAAAGGGGTGGATGGTAGTTCTATATTTATTTATGAAATATTGGCGGTGTATTTAAATAAAATATATCAATGAAATATATTGTTATCTTTCTTTTTTTTGTTAATTTAAAACTTATCTTTAATTAATGATAATAATAAATTTGATGTGTAAATGTGATGAATAATCTTGATCACACCGAAATGGGTAAGGTCGGTCATCGATTTTAAATTAGATGATTTGTAATTATGAATTAAAAAATAATAAAATAATACATGTGACATATTTTTATTAATTAAAAAATAAAGATATAGTACCAAAAAAAACCTCATAAGGTGTTTCAAACGCTGCAAAGGCGCGTGGAGGACGGACATGTATGTCGGTTGAAAGCATGGAAGAAGTAGTAAACATTCATATGGAGGTTGTTTCCGTTGCTTTCCGTTGTGGAAATTCGAATGATCCAACGGCTCAGCAATGAGTGTGGAGAACGGACGGCTGAAAACTCGTGATTGTCAGTGTTTTTTAACCACAGTGGTAAGAGACGAATGACTTTGGTGTAGTGTAGTAGGTAAGAAGTCTTAATAAATGCATAATTTTATGTCCAAAAAGTAGTGTAACTGGTGACCCCCTCAGCCCGTTTTTCTTCTTTCTCTTTATTCTCTATATAGTGGGCTTGATTGGAGTGAGCTGAAAACCTCAGTTTTTTTTTTTTGTTTTAAACAAAAAGAAGTCTGGACCGTTTGAATTTGGACTTATTGTAAGACTTTTCTATCAGCTTTGTGGACAAAAATAATTTTTATCAGCACTAAGAAAAAAATAAAAAAATGGTATTTATCCAAGAGTTTCAAAAGAAAAGTCGATTTTTTTAAAAACACACCAATCAGTTCTAAGAATTTTTTTTAACTCTGTATTTTTTATTTTACTTTTTAAATCTCTATTTCGCACCCAAAAAAATCAGATCCAAACGGCCCTATTATAAAAATTTAATTCTACAACAATGATTACCTATCGCATTACAAACACACGTCATTGTTTTCGTAATAATGAGATCACATTTTTTTTTTGTCAAGTGACTCTGACCCAAAAGTGATTCAGATTCTTTGTAATACTTTTTATTTCTTTCATATTTTTCTATAATTTATCACTCCATATATGTATTAGTGGAGGATCCACGTAAATAAAACTAACATGACTTAAATATATGATAGGTGATTTACTAATAAAAAACACATTTTGTAAACGATTTATCTCTTCAAATAATTTGGTGCTCGACTTGATTTGTTTTCATTTGCATTCCTAGAGCTAAGCCCAAAAAATTGGCCTTCAACTTGATCTGTTTTATTTTTAACTCTAAAATTGAGCCAAAAGACCACTTGGAGACTATATGATCGATCATAATAGTTCTTAAATGATGAGTGTTTTTATTTTGGTATTTACAAAATATGCATTAGTGTGGAAGGTGATAAGTAAGTAATCGAAATCTATTCAGGGATTGTTGATTATTTATGAATTTGTCTATGACCATTGCCATTAAAAATAATATAATTAATTAATTAAATTATAAAATTATAAAATTTTATCCACGTCATTTTGTGGGTGATGAAAAATAGGAGGTGTAATAGGAAAAAAATAAAGAAGGTATTTTTCGGAACTCTTGAATGGATGGAGGGGGAACCGGAGTAGTCGGTGAACAGGTAAAAAGCGTGGGGGGTTAGTGTGGGGCCAAGTCACAAGTACTTGGCTACACGTGGCGCTTTTTAAGATTTGCCGCATCACTACTCTTTTGGCCGCATTCGGACCGTATCTTTGTGTCGGCGTTTCATTTGGTTATTGCTGAAAAGTTGAGAAATTCTCAGGCGTGAGTATTTATACCTTTCCTTTGAATACACTATAAGCGATTATTTATGCCCGGACCAAGCCCACTGTCAACCAATTTTTGGGCTTTAATTCTACTCTTTCTGGCCCATACACTGGGTCCGCCCAATAAAAATTGACACCTCAAGTGAATATTTATATCTATATTTATATTTGTACTACTTTAAAAAGTACGTAAGTTGGAAAAATATTTGTTTTTCTCTTTTACTCTCTAATATTTATTAATTATCTAAATTATCGTGATTAAATATATTATAAATGTTGTTCACCATAAAAATTCATTTATTTATCGAGCAAGTGCAATGACTTTTCATCTCCTCTCTTTTCCAGTTCAGCCGTCATCATCCATTACATTTTCAATGAATTCAGATTAATATACTAATTAGCTAGAGAACAAGAAAATAGTGAACTATTAGTCATGATTTCTTACTCTTTTGTATTCCAATAATTAAAATGTCATCTTTACAGTCGTTCGTCTATGTCCTCCTCACCCATTCAACACGTTACACACACATATTTATATTTATACTAATAATAAAAGATAACTAAATTTTTTTTTCTAATTTTTCCTCAATTAATATTATAAGGTCAATTTTATCCTTTTAAGTCTAGGTCATGGTTTAATGTTATACCTTAACCCGTGTAACTATTAATATTCTTGCTCTATGTATATTCCTCAATTAAATTAGCTAAATTTTATCATTAATGAATTAATTGCATATTGATTATACTATATCTATATCTACTAATAAAAGCATGCTGATTGAAAAAAAATTATATTTTCCTATTTTGTCATTGGATAGCACAATAAAGTCAATTTTGTTCTCCATCAAATGCAAACAATTTAATGGTTAAACTTTATGAATTATAAAGACAATTTAATGTTTAGACTACTTGAGTTCTGAAAAATATTCAATATTCAATTACACTTTAAAACTTCAATTCCTCATATTTTCCCAGACCTTGTGAAACAAGAGTTTACCATCAATAATTCCCTACTTTGCAACCACCTCCTAGACTCCCATATTTACTACCACTAACTAAGAAGTCCTTAGAGCAACTCTAAAGGGAGTTGCCATGTTGGGGTGTCAAATCACCTATTTTTAATCTTGAACAGTGTTTTGACATATATGAATTATAAATTTATTCCAATGGTAGTGTTAAAATGGGGTGTCATTTTAATATTTCTTCTCATTTCCCACTGCGTCTGCGCCTTCTTCTCCTTCCCTTTCCTCTTTGTGCCTTCTTCCCCTTTCCCTCTCTCTGTGCCTCCTCTAGATCTGTCATTACCTCTCCTTTTCTCTCTCCAAAGTTTGAAAAATTGTCACTCCAAAAGCATTGTTGTCATTTTTTAATCTTTAATGTCACTCTCATTTGAATGAAAAATTTTAAATTTGGGGTAGTATTTTGGCAGTTACAGACAATTATGAGGTTGCCGCTCTTGATGTCACTCCCCGTTGAGTTGCGCTTAGGTAAGGACTCTCTAATAGCATGATCTCAATTACTGGAATATCAAAATGTTGTCCAACAAGATTTTTTCAGTCCACCACTACCTATGCCATTCTTGCCAGCATCAGCAACAACTTTTGGCCTTTGGGATTCCATTGCCACCAAACCCATTTCGGTCACCACCTTTAATTTTCCCCCCTCAAACTCATTTCATTCACTACCTTCAATCGTTTCAACCTTACTGCATATTCTTGCTAATGTTGTCAAAAAAAGGAAGAAAAACTATGCTGATGTGGAACCCCAATTTGGTTTTGCTTTCATCTTTCACAATTTTGGGAATTCAAAAAATGAAGCTGGAACTACTTATTACAAATGCTATGTTATTGTTTATCCTCATTTTTATAGGCAAGAATGGTCTTATGGGTGTGGATCATGAGGATTTGATGACTTTAGTGTCGCCACTTTTCTCACCAAATGATATGTCCGAGAAAGTATTGTAAGATGATTCATCTTATTTTATTTAATTATGATACTTGCATTTCTTAAGATTGTATTCAAATGCATTTCTTTGAGAACCAGGTTAGAAAGGAGGACTTGTGTTTATTAGTTTTCTTTTTGTTTAGTATTTTAACTTCTACTGATGGATATGTGTTTATTTATTGTTTCTTAAGTGCTTGAAATTTGATATTCTTTTCGTATGAATGTTTAACGAGCTTCCTTGCACTATGTGAAACATACTATTATCAGATTGGACATGTCTATAACTAAAGAAACATACATCAAGCCATTAAGGGAGGGAGGCAAATGACCTTCACCTCTAGTTTGTCGAACGAGGCCTTTCACTTGACCCTTTCTAGATGGAGACATGGAATTGATGAGGGCCTTTGGTTAACGTAGTAAAAAATAAATTGAAATTCTTAAAGTCACCTCTTAAGCTTCCTCTTATTCAAGATTGCAAGACTTGGCTAATGAAAACAAGTATCTTCAAGTGGTTACTTGATTATTGTAGTGAATCAAGATCAAATTCCTTGTACAGGCAGCCATTTTCTCCCTCACTCACCAAATACTTGAACAAGAAGGGTCAATATGGGAAAAGTTTAAGTATTAAAAGATATTTTCCTATGTTACTCTTTTTGTACCGACCTTATAATCATGCCATTTTAGGGTACATAAAAAAAAATCAAACATCTATTAGTTCAAGGCATGCAAAGATATTATCCCCCACACCTAGATACCTATTAAGCTTTTTGAAAAATCTATCATTGCAAGCTGAATGATTGAACAACGACATGTAAATCAATGGCCAAATGTAATAATCAGTATGTAGGTTTTGTGAAAGATAAGTCATTTATATTTGTGGATAGAAGTTTTTATAGTTCATTTGCTTTAGAAACAATGGCTTGCACTCTTATTGGAAAATGATTTATGGTTTGTTGACCATAACCATATTTAATATGAATACAAAATTTTTTATTTAGAAGGAACTCAAATAATTTGATCAAAGGGGACCAATGTTATTGTCCAAATTAGTCAAATAGACCTTTTTATTAAAATTCAAATTGTACTTAGAAAAAGGTAGTGTGAGACATTTATTGATGTAATATTGGAGGGATTTGATATGAAGAGGGTGTGGAGGGTATTTTACTGAATTTAGATTAATTATGGGCATAATTTTAATATAATTATTATATTTTCATTGTTCACTTTTCGATTTTTCCTATAAAGCATGGATCAAGGAAAACAAAAATCATATAACAAAATAATTCACGTGTAACGTATGTATGCACCTACTAGTATTATAAAAGTACTCTTTCAAAATATATAAAAAAATTAGTATAAATAATATAGTTGTAATTTTGTATATTTTATATAAAATTCATTCTTTTTGCTATGAAACAAAGATTGAATGAACTATTCATATTATCCATTTAAAATGATATATAAACAAAATTTAATTATAAAAAAACTTAATAATTAATTTTGTATCACAAGTTAAATATACAGAGTTTCAATAAAAATGTTTTTACTTATTTTTCTATTCAATGTTAGATCCTCGTACATGTAATACCTAACAAAAATGAATTTAGAAGTAATTGCTCATGGCTTGTGATTTAAAAGTAAAAATAAGTAGTAATCTGAGTGATAGTTAAAGTGATAGTAGAGACGAACGACATACCTAAACATCTTAAATTCGAATATTAACAACTCTTTAGGATTAAGTTATGAGATATTTATTAATTATGAATACTCTAGTGTTAACGTAAATGATATTTGACCAAATTAAAAAGATGATTAAACAAGGCGTGGATAAATAAATTTAAACACTCTTTACTGTTAAATTAAAAAAAAATTTCAAGTGGACCCATTTCCTTTTTTTTTATGGTCCCAAGAAGTAAAGAAAATAAAAAAAGGTTTCTTTTATGTGTGATTCGTGAGGGTTGAAGTTAACTTTTTTACCTTCTGCATCTGCCATTCAAGTTTTGGCGAGGGTTTTGGGTGTCATCCCAAAAGGCAGGGTTTTTAGGGCAGGAGATTCAAAAAGCACATAGAAATTTCTCTCTGAAGCACAGGTTAGTCTCTTCCTGCATTGCCTATATTTTCAATCCATGTTCGAGAGAGTAATTTAGAAGGCGGCTTCCAACCTAAAAGCAAAAACTTCAGGAGAGGGCTACAGGGTTTATCGTGGAGGAGGGTTTCCGGGCTGATTTCACATTGGAATTTGTTAGCACTGGTGAGTCCCTTCCGCAATTGTCCAACATCCATGTTTAATCTCATATGCAAAGCGTCGCCCTCTTTGAGGTCTTCTTTTAGAACTTCACCAACCCATAAACTGTTTTTTCTTCAAGACCACCCGTTATCATCATCAGGAAGAATTCTCAAATCCGTAGCAAACACTTCGAATGAGCACTCATTCACAGTCTGTTACCTCATAAACTCATGTGGGTTTCCTCCGGAAAAAGCTCTCGCAGCTTCCAAGTACATGAATTTTGAAACCCCCAACAAACCTGATTCAGTGCTTGCTTTCTTTAGAAACCATGGGTTCACAGAAACCCAGATCTCAAATCTTGTCAGAGGGTCTCCCCCAGTTTTACTATGTAATCCCGAGAAAACCCTTTTGCCCAAATTCCAATTTTTTACATCTGAAGGCGTTTCAAGCACTGACCTTACCAAAATATTAACTCGTGCACCAAGTATTCTGAAAAGAAGCTTGGAAAACCAAATCATTCCATCTTTCCATTGGTTCAAAAATTTACTGCAATCGCGTAAAAGAACAATTTCCGCCATGAAACGTAATGCTGAATTTTTGTGTCATGATTTTCAGACTAATTTGGTGCCTAAGATTAATATATTGCGGGATTTGGGTGTGCCGGAATCGAATATTGTGGTTCTGTTAATATATCACGCTAAAGCGTTATGGACAAGTACTGAAAGGTTTAAAGATATTGTCCACGAAGTTAAGGAAATGGGATTTAACCCACGGAGAATGAAGTTTATTCGTGCAATTCATACGCGGAAATCTATGAGTAAGTCGACATGGGAAAAGAAGGTGGAACTTTATAAGAAGTGGGGTTGGTCTATGGATGAGATCGTGGTTGCCTTTGGGAAGAATCCATGGTGTATGTCAGCCTCTAAAGATAAGATTACAGGGGTAATGGATTATCTCATCAACAATGTGGGTTTGGAGACTTCTGTAGTGGCCCAATCTCCTATAATAATTTCATATAGCTTGGAGAAGAGAATTGTCCCTAGGTGCTCAGTTTATCAAGTTCTGGTGTCAAAAGGTTTGGTCAGGAAGGATTTTAGATTGACTACAATGTTTAATTATCCTGAAAACAAGTTTGTGAGGCATATTGAGAATTCTTATGAGAAGGAAGCTCCGGAGCTCTTGAAGCTATATCAGGAAATATTGGATCGTTCAAAGTGATCAGGTGGATGACCAATTCGATATGACAGAAGAAGATTGATTTTTATGGTAACTGGAATTGGTCTAGTGAAGCAACAGTTCTTGCTTTTGTCAAATATCCATGGTGTATTATGACATATTGGGAAAAAGATTATGGCGGTGATGGATTGTTATGATAATGTTATCTGTTGGAATCTTTGTTAATTGCTCAAAGTCTGCAATAGTGCAATGTCTTTTGCAGAGCTTGGAAGAGAATTATTCCAAGGTGTTCAATTGTTCAAGTTCTTTCGAACACTGGATGAAAAACATGCAAGCTTAGCTACATTGTTGCAGTGTACTGAAAATAAGTTTCTTTAAGAAATTTGTGATTCCTGACGAGGAAGAAGCTCCTCAGCTGTTGAAGTTACATCGAGCAAAATTGGATCCTTCAAAATAGCAAGGACCCAGTACTTAGGGTAATCTAACCTATATTGTCTTGCTCATGGCAGTGCCATTAATTTAGATTAGGTCTTTATGAACATTGTTTTTACTGGGTTGGTGAAATTGTGACATTTCTGATGCCACACTGCCTTTTCTTTATATTTTCGGTGATTTTATTCATTTTGATTACAACAGTTTGTATTTGAGATATTTGACAACATTTTTATCTCTATCTTGCCTTGGTTATTCAGGCATATGGCTGAATCTCATTATACATGATTCATATACGATACGAATTCAATATCACACGATTGGTTAGACACGAATTAATAAATGAATTAAGTATGAGTGAAGTTTTTTTTTTGACATGAACTTGCTAAAATTCGATACAAGCTCGTTTCGTACGACATGATTCACATGCCTAATTGTGACAAATTGAAACCTATGTCAAATAACTTTTATATCATTTTCGTGTTGAACTAACAAAAGTTTTTAAGGGTTATTAATCCTAAAATAGCGATGACATTTTCTTCACATATTAAAACACCTAAACTAACAACTATATAAATTGTAATCTCTCAGATAATGAGCAGTATCCACATGAAATATAGCCGAAAAAGAGAAAAATAAATAATAGGGCAAATTACACTTGGACCCATTTGTATATGCCCCTCATTTCACATTGGCCCCTAACTATTCTCTTTCTAACATTGCACTTAAAACTATTAATTTAAGTTTCACATCGTCCTAATAATTGTTTATGCCCAAATTTTCACAACAAACCAGAGTCAAGTGGGGATCCCATAATATTAGGAGATGTGGTCTTTTCATCCTCAACTTGGTAGAATTTCAATTTTTTTTAGTTGATTTGTCGGAAAAAAAAAATCAATGATTTAGAAAATGTGAAACTCAAATTAATAATTTTAGGAGTAATGAGTGAAATTGATAACTTGGGGTAGGGCTAATAATCAAACCAAATTTTACGAACTTGAGCGGAGCTCGATTCGATTATCGTCCTAAGCAATGTGAAATGAGTGATAGAAGTAGAGTTTAAGGGTCTAAGTATAATTTGCAGGAAAAATATTTGTCGGACGAGATATGATGTAGGGGTGCAATTGGGGCGGGTTGAGAGGTTAACCCTATCATAACCCTAGATATGTAATTTTTAATCTTAAGCCTAACTCTAACTTGACTTCGACCAGAGTATTGTCCGAGTTTAATTCGAGCAGACTTGGTTTTGATTTGAGCTACTTTTAGGTTAAAAATCGAGTTGCGATCGAATTACTTAATTCGAGTTGATAAAAAGAGAGATGAGTGACGAGTGAGAGAGAGGGAGACTAAGAGTCTCAGATTAAACGAGTGAGAGAGGGAGACTGAGAGTCAGAGATCAGATGACAAATGAGTGACAAGCAATAGAGAGATCTAAGGGTGATAGAGACACAAGAGTGAAGACTTAGTGAAATGAAAGTTTGAATTATAAAGAGTAAAAATAAATATTAACCATAATTAAATATAATTATATATTTAGGTATATCCTAGTTCAACCTAATTTTAATATTCGAGTTTAACCGACAACTCGGCCAAAGTATTAAAAATTTTATTAATTCGTCAATTTTTTGGGTTGGATTCGAGTTTGCCTGTCCCAGTTGCAGCTCTAGTACGACGTCGAAGGTTTAGAAGAAGGCTTCGTCAGGGTTTATGCAGACGAAGGGTTTTAGGGCAAGAGTTTGAAAATCACGTAGAGATTATTTGCCTTGGAAGCACAGGTGAGTGAATCCCTTCTGGCCTTCCTAATTAAACTTCATCCATGTTTAGTTTTGTATGCAAAACATTGCCTTATGTGAGATCATCATTTAGAATTTCACCAACCCATATACTGTTTCTGCTTCAATACCACCCGTTATCATCATCAGGAACAATTCTCAAATCCGTAACAAATTCTGCAAATGATCAGTCATTCACAGTCTCTTACCTCATAAACTCATGTGGGTTTCCTCTAGAAAAAGCTCTCTCAGCTTCAAAGTACATGAATTTTGAAACCCCTAATAAACCTGATTCAGTGCTTGCCTTCTTTCGAAACCATGGGTTCTCTGAAACCCAGATCTCAAATCTCGTCAAAGGATTCCCTCCAATCCTACTATGTGATCCGGAGAAAACCATTTTGCCCAAATTCCAATTTTTTACATCTGAAGGCGTTTCAAGCACTGACCTTGCCAAAATATTAACTCGAGCACCAAATATTTTGAAAAGAAACTTGAAAAATCAAATCAGCCCATCTTTCAATTTATTCAAAAATTTACTGCAGTCACATGAAAAAACAATTGCCGCCTTGAACTATGATGGTGGATTATTATGCTGTGGTTTTCAAACTAGTTTGCTGCCAAAAATTGAAATTTTGCGGGATATGGGAGTTCCCGAATCGAATATTCTGGATTTGCTAATGTTCCGCCCTAGAGCGTTCTTGACGAGTATTGAAAGATTCAAAAATATTGTGGAGGAAGTTAAAAAAATGAGGTTTAACCCGCAGAGAAGAAAGTTTGTTACGGCAATTCATGTACGTGCAATAATGAATAAATTAAAGTGGGAAAAGAAGGTGGAAGTGTACAAGAGGTGGGGTTGGTCTAAGGATGAGATTTTGGTTTGGGAAGAATCCGTGGTGTATGGCAGTGTCTGAGGATAAGACTACAGGGGTAATGGATTATCTCATCAATAATATGGGTTTGGAGACTTCTGAACTTGCCAAGAGGACAAATATCCTTTCACATAGCTTGGAGCAGAGGATTGTCCCTAGGTGCTCAGTTTATGGACTTTTGTTGTCGAAAGGTGTGGACTTGAAGGGTTTTCATTTGACTACAATGTTGGTAGTTTTTGAAAAGAGGTTCATCGGGCATATTGAGAAGTCTTATCGGAAGGAAGCTCCTGAGCTCTTGAAGCTATACCAAGAAATGTTGGATCTTTCAAAGTGATGAGGTGAATGACCAAATCGATATGGCAGAAGAAGATGGATATATATGCATTTGCAATGTTTTTTTGCCTTTTGTTTTCCCTGTTTCATGTCTTAGTGTTTAGATGTCTTGTCCAACTTCGGCATACCTTTCGTACTTTTGTTTTTATGATTAATGAAATCATTGTTTCTTATCAAAAAAAAATAAGAAGATATATATGGGAAGTGGAATTGTGCTTACGAAGCAACAGTTTTGGCTGTTATCAAATATGCATGGTGTTTGATGATATCAGAAAAAATATTTTGGATTTGGTGGATTACAATGTTATTGATGTCAGTTGGAATCTTTGTTAATTGCCCAAAGTCCGCAATGTCTTTTGCTGAGCTTTGTAGAGAGTTATTCGAAGGTGTTCAATTGTTCAAGGTCTTTTGAAGATTGGTTGCAAAACATGTCAGATTAACTGCATCATGGCAATCTACCGAATGTTTCTGGAGAAATTTGTTACACTTGGAAGGAATAAGCTCCTCAATTGTTGAAGTTATGTAATTCAAAATTATAATGTGCTAAATTAAGTTACTCTCATTCTTTTTTTTTTTCCTTGTTTCATATTTTATTTTCTTTTGCTCACGGCAGTGCCAGTGCCATTAGTTTTATTTCTTTTTGAGAATTGTTTCTCCTAGGATGGTGAAAGTGTTTGACAAGTCTGATGTTGCGCTGCCTTGTATTTTTAATTTCAGTGATCTTAAATTGTTTAATTTGTTTTGATTACAACAGTTGGTAATAGAGATATGTGGCAACATTATTCTTTCTATCTTGCCTTGGTTATACTGGCATAAATAGCTGAATAGTCAATGTTTGGTGTGCAACTGTCTTAATCTTCAGCACATGCATATAAAAGGCCAGTAATATAGTAATCATTTCTTATCTCATTGTGTCAGGCCCCCAGCTATGGGCTTTCATGCTCAGAGTAGCATTCCAAGTTTTGTTGTTCATGTTAGTGAGCCTCAAGATCTCAGTTATGATTGGTCTTCCACAAGAATAGAATATGAAAAAAAGGAGGGGGGAAGAAATAGAGAACTAAAAAAGTAGTTGGGTTTGATCCGGGAGAGGCTTTTCTGTGGAAAATTGTTTCACTATGTTATAGCGATCCCTTCAAGTGTTATGGTTGTACAATTTGCAATTGCCAGGCAACCGGTGGGAACTGCACTCCTACAACATCTACAAATGGCTCTACATCAGGTCAGGTTGCCAGTTTTACAGGTATGATTGTGATGTTGGCTTCTTTGATTGTATGAAAAACATTAAGACTGCTCCTCCCCATTTTATATGGCATCAAAATTTTGGTGGTTTCTGATATAATCTAGTTTTTCCTTTGGGCGTTTGTAATTAACTTGCTTGAATGGCTATGGAGGAACCGACTAAAGGGTTTCTGCCTGAGTTATCCCGATCGATCGACAGACCTGGTATTGGAGAAATGGGGAGAGAGAGAAAGAGGGATTTGATGCCTCTGAAGTTGCTAAAGATGCATTATAATGGCCGAGGGGGTTGTTCCAATGGCTGCTGGGATGTTCTCCTTCTGTTATTTTGGTAAGAAAGTCCCCTTCTTTTTTCATTCCATTTTATCGAAACTACTATTATATACACACTATTAGCTATTTAAAAGGGTAACTGTAGTAACAAAGATGTAGGATATTTTTTTGGCCAAACTATAAATTTCATTAAAATAAAACAGGAAAACATCTTTTTACATTGCTACTTAACCCAATACCTATCCTAGTTTATTTGAGGAGAATTTGCTTCAGTTGCTGTGGAGATCCTATGTGTTTGAAATTAACTTGAGCTAGTCCTTCTGCGTAATACCATGTGTCCTGTTGGATGGTTTCAATTTCTCTTATGATTGCAGTTGGTCGTTGATTGAGGGAGACAATGAGAACCTTCTAGTTCGATTTCAAAATAACCTCCCTGTAACCCTCTTTCAGTGCCATTGAACAGGCTCTATGCACTGCACAAGCTTCAGCTGCTAAGGCTGAGGAAACTGTCATCTTTGCTGCAGCTCCAGCTATCCACTGCCCGTCATGGTTGCGTGCTACTGCTGCGTAAGATGCACTACCGCTCTTTTCGCAGTATGCTCCATCACAATTAATCTTCATCTAACCAATCGGAGGTGGGTCTCACTTAAATACATCGTTAAGAATGAAATTGAAGATAAAATGTACTGGAGAGGGTCTCCTTTTTCTGTCAATCAATTACCTTGTGTAAATCCTCAGTGACCCCAAGATACAATGGTAAAAAAAAGAGAGGAGGAGGAGGAGGAGGAGGAGGAGAGAATTGACACTTCTATGAGGTGTTTAATTTGTACAAGTGAGTTTTATCGGAATTTATTCAATTTATATAGAATAATTATAGTTTAGTTAGCTTTTATGTTGTATCGTATAAGGATCAAAATATCGTTTCGAAACGGTCGAAACATCTGAAACGTTTCAGTTTTCAAGGAGACCGAAACGAAACAGTGGTAAAATCGAAATTCTAACAATTTGAGGTATTCCATAATGTTTTGAGATATATTATAATATTTTAATACATTTGCACAATTATTTTGGAATGTTTCAAAGTATTTTAAGATATTTTGATATATTTCAATCAATGTATTAAAAAAATAATTTTTAAATTTTTTATTTTTTTCATTATATTTCCGAAACGGGTTGAAACGATTCTGAAATAGGTTGAAACGTTTTCGTTTCCTAATTGACCGAAACAATACACCAAAACGAAATTTTGATCCTCGGTATCATATCAAATTTCTATTACATAAAAGTGGTATATAATATAGATCTTCATAACTCTACCAAACAATGACTTAAACTCGATAAGTTTAAATTTGTATTGAATAATTTTTCTCGTTTTCATATTAGATTAAGCAATCTTGTAAAAATGAAAAATATTATTTGGACTTAATTTTGAAACTTAATTCAATCTAAGTATTAGATTGAAAGTGAGTTCTATCTAACATTAGAACTTACAACTTATGAAATGATTGTATTAAATCATATCCTAAAACTAGAATAAGGTCTAATTTAATTTTAATAAGGATCAAAATTTTATTTCGAAATGGTTAAAACGTTTTTATTTTCAAAGAGACCAAAACAAATTAGTGATTGAATTAAAATACCAATATTTCGAGGTGTTTTGAGATATTTCGATATATTTTCACCATTATTTTAAAATGTTTCAAGGTGTTTTAAGATATTTTAGTATATTTTAATCAATATTTTTAGAATATTTTAAAAATAAATTTCTAAATATTTTTTTGTTTTTATTTTATTTTTAAAATATTTTTAAAACTTTTTTATTTTTTAAGTGACCGAAATAATGCAGTAAAATGAAAATTTAATCTTTGATTCTAACACAAAAGTATTGTAGCTATAGAAGATTAATAGCTATTTTTTTACTCACTGGATTGTTGACCAAATAGACCAAAAAATAATAAATGATAGATCGAGGGTGACGGTTTTTGTTATTACTAAATGATGGATTTTGACTTCTCACTATTTTTGAGTGGCCACGAGCAGCTCAGAACATCTTATTACCAAAGGCGTGGTCACACTGAATAAATAAATCCAAAAAATAATTTATTTATAACTTAAAAATTATAACTTACACTTTTGCCCCCAAATAATGAACACTTTTTTACTTTTCCCCTTAAACTATTAAAGTTTTCATATTATTCTAACAACTACTTTAATTATTTCATATTGACCCAATCACAATCTTTTTGAACATAAATTATTAAGGTATTGGGGCCAAATAAAATAAATTACATAGTTTAGTAACAAAATAAAATAAATTTTCATTAAATATTTAACAAACATTCAATATAAATTATATGATTGTTAAATTATTCAAATAATTGAGGGTATAATATGCCAAATATGATTGTTAAGGGGATAAAATAAAAAAAAGATTCATATTTTAGGCGCTAAAGTATAATTTTCCCTTTAAAAAGGTTAAACAAAATAAATAGTGTTGGAAGCTTTGGACTTCGCTTGTTTGCAAGTTTCGCGGTTACTGCCCCAAGTTCTCATCCGCTTCTTCTTCTTCTTCTTCTCTCTCTCTCTCTCTCTCTCTCTCTATACCAAATCTCCATACTTAACGTCTTCGTTATCTTCAACTGTCTGCACTTGCTATTTCGTTCCTCGATTTATTCATTGCCTATCGCATCCAATTGGTTTAAAATTCTGAGACAAGCTTCCGATCGTGATGAGAACTTTACTTTGCTCATCTCGCTTTTTGAATTTCGGCTCGTGGTTTGGTATGGTCGTAATTTAGATATTTTTTTGATTTTTTTTAAAAGTAAATTCTATATGTCGTTTTTTTTTGTTTTGAATTTTTAGATTTGTGTTTGCATATATTGCTTGTATATGTTAATTATAGCCCATTTAGATACTACTACTACTACTGTTTATCTATTTTCCAGATGCCACTTCCGTTCTTTTCAGTATTCTGCTTGATCAGGTGTTTGATCATGTACTTGTAATGGACTGTTGAATTCTTTAGATTTGGAGACGTTGTATTATGTGTGGATTTTTGAAAGTTAATGATAGTAATTTCATCCTGGGTCAGAAAAACAGTTATTATATTGACCTTGTTTCGAGTGACGATTTTAAACGTAAATAGATTTCGGGAAGTGGGGAGAGAGAGAGAGAGAGAGAGAGAGAAAGAGATCTGCCTAGGAAGTAGTGGGAGGGTATGACTATTTTTCAGCTGAAATTTGGTGAAAGGTATATGAAGCTTCCGGCCATTAGTGGTGGGATTAATGAGCTGTATTTTCTTTTAAATTTCTAGTCAGTCATCTTTGCTTGCTGGTTGTGGGGTGGGGATGGGTCCATGTGATGCAAGAACAGCAAGACGTGTAAAAGCAAAATATGGATTACCTTTTTTTTTTCAATTTTGATTTCAGAAATTATGTAATTCACAAATAATTTTGAGGGCAGAGAAGATCTCATTATATTTTCCTGTAATTCATGAACAGTGAAATGAAGTTTTGATCTGGTGCTTAAAATGTCTTTATCTGTCTTTATTTGGACAACTGAAAGATCCTGTGTATTATCCGTGCATGTATTAGAGGATGTCTTTAATTGTTTTAAGTGGGAATTTATTTTGAGAAAGCAGAAATGGAGATGGAAGGCCTGTAGTTCAGACAGGCCCTCATTTTTCCAATTTAGAGATTGAAGAAAAGAAGTCACAATTTTGGTCGTGTATAGATATGGATTGTTTTAGCATTTGTGAGAGTTTACAATATATTGCAATTAGTTTCATGTCCTTATTTTATATGAATGTTATAAGCGCAGTATTTTTTGCTTAAATATATTTGCCAACTCATTGTTTCCTTATTTTTCAAGTGACTGCAAAATCTACTGATGGGCCCGCCAAGAAAGTCCAGAAGTGTGAATAAGGGGTTTTCTTATATTGATGAGCTTTCTCCTAGTAAAGATGGTGAGAATTCTAAGAAAAACGTCCAGCGGGTAAGTTTTGGCCTTCATTCTCTGTTCTCTGCTGTCTGAAAAAAAATACTAGGCATTTTTTTGAAACCTAGTTTTAGGTATAGAAGTGACATTCTAAGCTTTACCATTTACTTCATAGTGACATGACACTCTTTGTAAAGATTTCAATCTTGGCCATGATGTAAGCTAGAGAGACACCTCTCGGGGTTAAGCTTTAGATGTTGAATTGTTTGAGGAGTGTTAATCAGATGTTGGCCTTTTGTACTGGATGCTACTGTGGGATATTTATTAGGTTTCTTCTCGTTTTACGTTTGGAAAGTTTGATCTCCTAACACTGCATCCATTAACAGATGACTGTCTTAGGAATCGAAGTGCATTATCAGAGACAGGTGATCACTGTTTTTCATGCGTTGGAAGGTCTTTTTCTTAGTGTTTGCAACATCTGATCAATGGGATCCAACCTGCATTTTGAAATAAGTGGAATTAATTAAATGTGGCTGCACATAATATTCAGCTACTGTTTGCTTGGTCAGTTGCATCTAACAAGGATAATAGCATAGGTGTAGGGTCCGACCTTTTTTTTGATATGGTATAGGGTCTGACCTGGGTACTGCCAAAATAACAGATTACTTGTTTTAAAGGGGCATTTTCCAAATTTCCATACACTTGTCTAAGATTTTAATATTTTTTGTCAATTTTTTTTTTCATTATTAGTTCCTCTTCCATGACTTCCTCCAGAAGCCTGGTGCAAAGAGTTGGTTTTATTTTTAGAAGTTGATATGCCAATTCTATGGTTTTCTATAATTGTAATATAGTCACTTGATATTCTGCAACCTTTTTTGCAAGCTAATGTTTGGAAGTTTGGTTTTGCAAGCATCCTTTATGATCATTTCCCTAATCTTTGCAGAAGAGGAAGGTGTCTGACATGTTAGGGGCTCAATGGAGCAAGACAGAGCTGGAGCGCTTTTATGAAGCGTATCGCAAGTATGGAGTAGATTGGAAAAAGGTTGGTTCATATTTTGAAATGGGGTGAAATAGTCTTATGGTTATACCTTAACAGGCACCGAGCATTTACTTTTATTTAGC